CTCTTTGATCATGGAGATGAGTGGTGTGACTTCAGTTTTGATTGCCCCATTGATGAAGTAATGAATGGGCACTGCATGAAAATAAAGTCGGCGCTCACTTGCGTTGCACCCTTTTGTATTCGTGAGAGCCGTTGTCGAAACAAGGACATCCAGCGGCCGTAAGGACCTGCTTAGACTAGACGAGGAGTACAGTGCAATCCACTTATAACAATATCACATATAGCGATGTACCGCCTATAGCGATAAGTTTTTAGAGCTTCTAGTCTAGAAATGATCAGTTTCTAGCCCAGATACAACGATAATCAGTTATAACTAGGGTTCGGAGTTTTCGGTTTAAATTGATAAAAGTACGCCAAATCCATTTTTAGAAATTCGGTTTTAACCGAAAAAGGTCAGTTTTTAGGTTCGGCGTTTTTGGTTAAAACCAGATAAAAGTCCGCCGAATCCATTTTCTAAAATTCTGTCTTAACCGAAAATGGTCAGTTTTTCTGGCCGCGTCAAAATGGGTGGGGAGAGGGTGAGGGAGGGGGGGGAAGGAAGAGAGGGCATTGCAAGGTTCGATATTGTGTGACCTCTTCGTGATTGACCTCTTCTAAGGTTCAACATGCAACAAAAGAGAACTTGGGTTGTCTTTCGAGGGACATCTGTGTCCTTTCTGTGATCGGGCTTATTGTGTCGAGTTCCTGGTCCTAAAAAATAAAAAGTTTGTGTTTGGACTAGTATAAGGTTTTTCGCTTCATGCAGGATCTCCAGCCAGAGTTTTGTGAGTACACGAAATATGTCGCACCGCGCCTCTTTCGTTTGTCGCATTTGGTTGATTCGCCGGTTCTGGCTCAGGCTTCATCTCCTCAGCCTGCCAGCGTCCAGTGTTAACGTTGGGAGGGCATTCTCGAAGCCCAGGGTTATTAGCAGGGAAGAATGAATGTGGATCAACGAGGAGAACCTGGGAAAGTACATGTGCTTTTACTATAATAGGGTCACGTAATTCTGATGTACAGAAGGTGAAGTTCCGTGTTCCTTGGGCACTGACTTGTTTGTACTTCTTTTTTTTTACAGTTGCACGCATTCGCCAAATAATGTGTCGATGTTTTGTTTCGTTTATGTGTGCCGTTACTCTTCGAGTGATCACAAATATCAGAGCTACAAGGATCATATGATTTGGTGTCCAATGGTGTTTCTTTAATATTCACCGAAAAACACCAGTAAACTTTTGTGGGCAGAAATATGCACTGAAAAATTAATTTTAAAATAAACACCGAAAAAAGTATGCTGAAACTTGAAAAGATAAAAACCGAAGACGCGGAACCCTAGTTATAACGATTGAAATTTTGGGTTTTCTTATTATCATTCTAGGTGGATTGCTCCGAGCGGAACGAGTGGTGATTGTGCAAAGTACGGTCTGTTTTAGACCTTAGCTTGCCGACCCTTTCCTGTTTGGATGCCTATGGCTAATCGAAACAGTCGGCAAGCTCACATGCCAAACTGACCGTGTGCTCGGTGAGGATGATGCATAATTTCAGTCTCAAGCTTGCACCAAACCTCGTCGGAACCACTTAAGGCCTCGCAGCATGCCAGAGGCCAAAGCTACAGTTCCTTGCCTTGAGCCGACCGCCACTCTTTCAGCGCCCCACTGCTCCTATGAAAGGGCTTCCCAAGCCTGCTCGTGAAGGAGGCTCCAGCAATTTGCAGGCCAGTGACATCAACACTCGTGCCTCCATCACATGTTTGGTTCCTACGTTCCTAGACACCTATATTTTCTTGCAATTGTTGGTAATGAGCCAGACCCCTAATCAGTGATGAGGAACTGTTTTGCGGCATTCTGTAAACAAAAAAGGACGTACCAGCTCTTGTTATGTCTGCAACATACCTTGAACCCCCACCCCCCGCTTTCGTCGTCACTGGACGCTGGATCTAGCTCGTTTCTGGACTGCGAGTGCCACAAGTTACAAGAAATACAGTCGTCAGAGTAAAGTAAAACGCTGCTCTAGTGGCACACACGTCTTCACGCACATTGCCGTCGCAAAGCTGACCCACACGGCGTCTCATCTTGATCCGTATCCAAGCGTGCGGAGGCACAGAGACTCGGCACTTCGACGTGCCATTGAAGCTTTGATCGCGCCACGAGACCGGCAAAACTTGCTTTTGATGAGTTGTACCTTTTTCCTGCGGCACTGCACTTTCGTAAAAATTTACACGTGCTCTCAACGACAAGTTTTAACGTTTACACAGGGTCTTAAAAAACTTTTTTGTCGAACGACGAGGAAAGAGTAGAAAATGTGTCTAGCACAAACAATTTTGCTGCGTGCAAGATGGTCGTCCGGTGGCATCACGGCGTCGCTCGCAGCCAACGTTACTAGAACACTCGGTTGGGAAACTCTTCCTTGAAACCTGGGCCGCTGGCGTCCACGGAGACCGAGCTAAATACGATAACAGCGCCACCCTTTAGCGACGGGTTGAAACATGAAAGTTGCTTTATATGGCTACTGCCAGAGTCACGGAATGTCCCGAGAGTACCGAAACTCCCAGGCTTGAGTTGCCAAGATGGCGGCTCAATCTTTTTTCTTTACTGTGGTTACCATGAGCTTTTAGAAGGCATATTTCTGTGTAAAAACAAACGAAAAAAAAAAAAAAAAAAAAACTCTGTAGGAACTTTTATTAGAGATTAGCACAAGATAACAGGCGTGTGATGTTTTTTAAAATATTCAGTTTGTAAGGTAGCCATGCCTCACCGATGATTTGAGAAAGCACGTCCCGATTGGGGTGCGTCTTGTCCTAACTTGGTATTAATTTGCGGTGGCTCCGTTTGGGAGACGAGGGTTGGCATCGCTGAAACTAGGTGTGTCGCGAACCGGTCAAGGTGAGAGTTCCACCAGGTTCGACTTTTTCAAACTTCTTGTGAAAGCCATAGAACGCCGTAAAATGCTGCCCCGGCGTTATAACCTTCTAAAAAGAGTTGATTTAGGTGTTTGCAATGATGCTCAGCAAGTTTCTAATTGGAACTATGTCTATCTCCCTATACTATATGTCTCCTTGGCCGTATAACTCATTCGCACAAACCGCATAAGTGTAGCTTTCACGGCTTTTTTTTAAACAAATCTGAAAGAATAAGTAAAAACACCCTGTATATGGATCGTCCAGCTGTTCCAGTGAGTTGCTATCAATAAAGGCGAGGGGGAATCTGTACGTGCTTTTATGTACATACTATTAACTATGGCTATGTTCCGAATCTACTCTCACTCTAATGGATCACATGGATGGGAGCAGAGCCGTCTGGATGGGAGCACAAAAAGAGCAACGCTGTGGAGCAGGGAGGGTTTTCGAAGGCAAAAGTATAAGGCTGCCGGCGAAAATGAAAACCTTTGAAGCGCGGCCCATTAGCGGCGCTCAAACGTTAGGTGCACTTAATCAGGTTGATAATGAGTCAGCACTGATCAGTGATGAGGAGTTGTTTTGCGCAGTATTCTGTAAATCGTCTGAGGACGAAAAAAAGGCGTACCTTCCCCCCTCTTCCGTTGCTACTGGACGCTGGATTAAGCTCGTTTCTAGACCGCGAGTGCCGCAAGTATAAAGTCGTCTGAGTAAAGTAAGCTAGACGCTGATCGAGGGGCACATACGGCTTCACGCAGATTGTACTCGCAAAACACATTCACACGGCGTCGATTCTTGATCGTCATCCAAGCGTGCGAAGGCACAGAGACACAGCACTTCGGCGTGCCAAGGAAGCGACGAGTTGTGTCTTTTTCCTGCGACACTGCGCTTTCGTAAAAATTTTCACGTGTTCTCAGCGGCAAGTATCGCACCTCACACAGGATTTTAGAGAATGTCTTAGGCGAATGACGACGAACGAGTAGAAGACGTGTCTTTAGCATGCTGCCGCCGGCCTCTGCAACGCTAGCAAGACGGGAAAAAACGACATGCAAGATGGCCGTCCGGTGGCCGCACTCGCGCTGCAGTGAGCGAGCGGGGATGCGCGATCAGTGGCCAACGTTACTAAAACACTCAGTTGGGAAACTCCCATAGAGACAGCTTTGAAAAAGTGGCCCTAATCTGTCTCCGAGCACCGAGCTGATGACGAACACAACGCCACCATTTCTCCCGCAGCGGAGAAATGGCGTTCGAGGAACTGCACATGACTTCTAATTTGGCTTTAAAAGCGCGAAACACATGTACGACGAAACCTTCCGATCCGACGTCCGACCGCGCGGTCGGAGGCGAGGGTTCTCAACCCTCTCCCCCCCAAGGTCATTCTGGCAGTCCGCACGTCGGATCGGAAGGTTTCGTCGTACATGTGTTTCGCGCTCGTCGGATCGGACGGTTTCGTCGTACATGTGTTTCGCGCTTAAAAACAGATACAGCGGAAGAGGTTACAGGAGTGCCGGCCTTCGGTAGTTCGACGCGTTGCGTCAAACTACCGAAGTTAAAATGCACCTAGGTCGGGACGCGCTACCTGAAACTGAAAGCCCCGCTGAGGCATGGTTGTATAAAAACAATATTAATTGTGCCGCAAAACCCTGCAACCTAAAGATTTCAAAAACATCACGCGCCCATCATTTGGTACTAAACTCCAATAAATTTCATACAAAAAAGAGTCTTTTCCGTTTGTTTTACGCAAAGACAGGCTTTCAAAAAGCTCAAGGTGACCACAGTACAGACAAACAATAAAGAGTGGCGCTGTTGTCGCATTTAGCTCGGTCTCGGTGGACGCCAGCGGCCCCAGCGGCCCAGGTTTCGACCGTTTCGACGGCCAGTTCGACTAGTTCGACGACAGCCGATAAAAAATGGCCGCCCTGCCGCCGCCGCCGCCGAAGTTTAAAAGCATAAAATCTAATCGCGCGAAACTGTTCAGCTTTTTTTTTTTTTTTTAAGCCAAATAGTTATAAAAAATAAGGACCGAAAGGTTGTCACGGTTGTCACATAAATCCCATAAATCAATGTGTTGTGACAAGAAATGCATTGTGTGGCGGACTTTTGTCGGTTCGTCCGCCAACTATGTAAAACGAAATTCAACATCTCCCAAGCCCAGTCTTCAACATGGCGAGCATCATGTTGGGTCGAACTTCTGCCCGGCTTTTCCGCGGAACCGTCAAGTTGCCCGTTTCTCGGCAGCTTTCCACTGGATCCGCCATGAAAGCGCAGTTTGCGATACAGGACGCGGAGGACTTTAAATCAAAAGTTTTGGACAGCAAGAAACCAGTGGTCGTTAACTTCCGGGCAAGGTGAGGACTGCCTGTTGCGTAACTTCTTAATTCATTTGTTCGAAATCTAATAAATAATTTCTCTAGGAACGGTATGTAGTATAATGATTCAAAACTACGATAAATTAGAAGCCTGTAATCGGTGTGGATGTCCAAAATTGGTAACCATTTGTGCATGCATTGAACTTCGAGTGTGTCCTTGAGAAAAATAGTGTTTGAAAGTGAAGTTCTCTGTGAGTACAGAGTTCAAAAATAGGCCACAGAACGTAGTAAGCTTAAATTATTCTGAACTGGTTGTTTTACGGTTTATAGTCGTGCTAAAATTTCAAGCATAAGCTCGATTTGTCGTGGGAATGGGGAAGGACAACTTGATAGACCTCTTGTGGCAAGATGACCACCCGATTTCTGGAGCCATGTGTCGATGTGTTTGTGTACTTAAATGATTTCAAATTGCGTTTGAGAACTTTTTCAACCCCACGTGAGAAGATTACCTATACTTTTAGTATCGATAAACTATCTAGTTTTGATTACTGAATAAATGAAATGCACCTTCGAAAGCACGTTTCATCAACTAATGCATCATGTAGCCTGCTGGGAGGCTTCCGATGGAGTGGTCGTTAGTATATAGAAGGTTGTGCATCTTACAGTGTAAACTTTTTCTAGAGGTTGTGCAATATTTAAAAAGTTTCTGCTGCCTGCTTTGATACACTAAATAGACTACTTCCATAAAGCCCTGCATGCAACACGGCGCGCATTGCACTCTGGGAACTAGTTGGCCAGGGAGGAGAGTGGCAGGGTTTCGGTTTCGATCGACACGTCGTCGTTTTCCGGTCCCGAGAGCGTCATTTGTGGTCTCTAAACTAACCTAAATGGCCAGACCTCGAAGACCTAGCACAAGCCCGAGACGTATAGCTTGTCTTAACACATGCTTGTTGTATTTTTGTACTTGAGCCTTTCTGTTAGCGTTTCGAGGTATGTGGACCAGCCAGTGCTGGGAATGTCGACGCTGCGAAGCTCGGGGATCTTGCTTGTGTACGAATTAGCAAGCTGCAGCAACCAATAAGTATGCATATATCGAGCTCGCGCCTTTACATTAGTGTTGTTGATCAGGAAGTTTCTTTGTTTCGTGCGTCCATAGACGAAATATTACTTTTTGCAATTACTGTTTTCTTAATACGCCTCAGTATGTGAGATAAAACTCGGAGGCGCCATTGAAAAGCTCACTTCTTATCTCTCATCTGTACTGACCTGCAGCACTGCACGAAACGAAGTCCCCACCCACTTGCATTTTATTAATATTCAACATCGCGTATGCGCATAACGTTATCCTGCAATCGTATAGGCAAATTCGCACATACAAACCGTTTTAAGAAAGCGAAAGTCGAGCACTTGTGTGAAAAACGTCGCACCGTTCGCCTGAAGTACGCCGGACGGGCATGAACCCCTATGCGGTGCGCCAAACGAACGAAATTATTCAAAGTGCATTTGACGGTTGCTAATGGCCATAATATTTGTTATGTGTTTGCTTTCTTCCTGCCTGAGTATGCCGAGATAATTTCAGACACACCGTTCAGGCACAGATCTTGGGCGTCAGTAAAAGCTCGTCCAAAAAGGCTTAGCGAGGAGTAGGGACGCTTGTTAGGGCCTCCGTCGTAGCTAGGCGATCTCAGCGTTTGCGAAAACTTAATCTTCTATCAGCATAAAATTTGAGTGGGAGATACATGATGACACGAGGAAGACATCATAGTAACTTTGGTGCAGTAGTGAGGTCGAATTTATTGCGTTTCCTTAAAAGTTTATGCGTCAACGCTGGGCTCAACTGTGATACTCTTGTGAGGATGCGGCTTGCTTTTCGCCCAATGATGTAACAAGAAGCGGACATTTGGCAAACAAAATACGTGTAAGGCTCCAGGTGACCAAATTTCAGTTGTTGTTCACTGGTACTAGACTTGATTATTGAAATTTAACTCAAAGGTGAGGTGAGCCACGTCTTACTACGTTTGCATACGCACTCATAGTATCCGGTGTTTCCGGAACCAAGGAAAGTGCCCCGGTGTTAATTTTGTATCGCTACAAAATGAGTGTATTGTACGTTCGTGAAAAGTCAGATAATCGAAAACGCAAGCAGCGCGTTCGGTCGCGGCGCGATAGCATGAGATGGAGCTGCTCAGTCGAAACCGAAACTGAGTGGCCAACTAGTTCCCAGAGTGCACCGCGTCGTATTCCGCCGCGATGGGGCGCGTCGGTTTTGGAAGAAGTCCATTACTGGACGAATGAAATGCGTCTTCAAAAGCAGCTCAGCGCGATGCTTTTGTACTCCATCCTAAGAATTGGTTGCTGCTGCCCTTTTTGAGATACTTGTCACGGCTTTTCCCCATGTTACACGTTTCATCTTTCTCTCCATAACTCCATCTATCAATCAAGAGTAACGTCCCTTTGTTGTAGGGTCTGCGACGTCAATCTGGCCGCAAAGGAGAGCCTCGTAGCTTTCGTAACAACACTTTTTATTTTCCGTTTCTGACCATATTCAAGTTGGTGCGGTCCGTGCAAGATGTTGACCCCACGCCTAGAGGTGGCCGTGGACGCCCGGGGCGACAAGTTTGACCTGGCCAAGGTGGACATCGACCAGCAAGCCGACTTGGCCATGCAGTACGAGGTACCAATGATTGTGCTTGCTGCGGCGTGCATGCTTCGGACAACCTTCCACCTAAGGCTGGTTCGCACATTTGCATTTGGCTGCGATCGCGCATGTTGCATTCTTTTGTGTAACCCCTTAACACACTGGTACACCGGTGCCACCTGTCGGGTAGCCCCAGAACACCTGCGACCTATGTGTAACTATGGTTTGCGACAGGTCAAGAGAGCGGGACAGGCTCTTCCCACAAAGCACTCCTCTTTCCACTTTAGCAGAGAGAATGCTGGAGATGAGGATGTGTACACGGGTTGGGAGTGTTCCACAGCTGGCTGATAGGTGGTGTCGGTGCGCAAATGTGTTTAGCGGGTACAAGGGAGCCAGCCTTTAGAGGTTCGTCGGACGTCAGTGACAACTGTCAAAGTTGAACTCCAAAACCGGCTCGCGCATTGTCATCGCTGAACTAGCGCAACATTGCACGACAGTCCGATTATCCATTTTATATCGTAAACACTTGTCGCCACACTCTGATGGAGACTAAAGGCTCATTTGCACACTTGCATCTGCTTAAGACCGAGCTTGCGATGTCTTACGACAATGGAACGCACCGGCATGCCGACACCGTCAAGGTGCCGGAACTGCGTTTCACTAGAGTGGAGGATCTGCGGCATTTGTGAGAACAAACGCCCGTACCGTCTACGAGAGACAGTCGTTCAAAACATAGACAAAAGTTTTTTCCAAGCCCCCCCCCCCCAAAAGGGAAATATAACACAAGAAATTTCGTTACGACCGGCTGCGCAGCCGGTCGCAAGGCGTCTTGAGGCTTAAAACGGGTTTTCTAGCCCCTCCGATCATAAGCACATGCGAGTGCGCGAACCGGCCTTTCATTTCCTTCTGTAAAACGCACACAAACAGCCATTGTGAATTTGAATACGAACCGCAAACTTTTGTAACAAATTTAAATGCTATTTACACGTTACGATGAAAGAGAATGGTGACACAGCTCGTTGAACGGCTCTGTAGCCGCCGACGGAATGAGAACCACAGGGGAGGTCCTTCGGTTGTGTGAGCATCCCGCCTTCAACGATGCTTCGGCGTTTCGCGGGCTTCGACCACGCGCGTGCAGCCAAAGCACGATGGAAGGGAACGAGCGCATGCTGGGCGCTGGGCGTCCGAAAAATATGCCCCACCGTTTTCATCCTGCCAGCGGCCATGTGGCTAAAGAGACCGGATGGCCATTGCTTGCCTTCTAAAGCGTGCGTCGCCTACGAGTACTACTGTGGTCGAGTCTACAGTGGAGCACTACAAAACCGGTACAAGCGTGCTAGTAACAGCGGAGCGAGCTTTCAGTTTTCTACGATACTAGAGCTATTCCGAAAGAAATGCTCGGTGCTAAAAGGTGCGCGCGAAAGAGAGAGGAGGCTAGCTTTAGCACTAAGTTGCAATCGCAGCAGACTGCCGTTGCGCTTTCAAAAAGTGAAATTGAAAGACAATTTTAAGGAACAAAGGCTTGGTTCTATCTAAAGTGTGAGAAAATGGTAGAAGGCGAGCACCGCCGAAAAGCCACGGACAATGCAACGCTACTACCGATGGAATCCACAGACCGGCACGGCGCGTCTAGGTGGATGATGCCATCAATGTATGAAGTAATGTTAAATCGAAATAGGGATCGATCCTACGTAAAAGCAGCAAAACATCCTCAAAAGTGCAAAGTACCACGTGCGGCGACGATGTCGTCGGAAACGTTATGTGCACAATTAAGATTGGTCGTGCTACGGCCCTTGCACGGCAACGGCTCGAATGTCGGAGCAATGCTTCCGACAGCGTCCGAGACCATCCTAAATCTCCCAAACAGGATTTGGAAGGCTGGTTCACATATTTCTGTTAAAGTGCGACCCGAGTGTGCCGTGCTCACTTACAACGAGAGATCACGCCAGCGCCACCTGTTGGGCAGCCTCAGAACACTTCCGATATACGTACAACTGTATAGTTTGTTGCAGAGTCGTGTATACAGAGGGTTTGGTTAATGGGAGGTGCGGGCAGAGCCGGGGCATGCACCAGACGCAGAAAGTGGGCTTGGCATGCTCTTTTGGCCAACCAGAAGCCTAAAAGAATTCCCTAGCGGTGGTAGCGAGAAACTGTTTTAATCAAAGGTATATGTTCATATATGGTTTTAATAAGTGCGTAAGAATGAAGTGTAGTAACCCTTCGTGGTTGAAAATAAGGTGCACAAGATGTTTCGATCGTGATCGTGCAAAGAGATGTAAGAAACGAATGCGCCACTCAACTTTGTTCTGCTTGGACATAGTTCGACCGCTCGGACAGCAGACTCCCGGCGCTTGGCGTACGGATTATGTCGATCGTTCCGCTAGTTGCACCCTTCCAACATGATTTTGGATGGCCCCGATTGACACATCATGTGCACCATATTTTCAGTCACTGAGAGTTACTCCGGTGCACTTATCAAGTTTCTTTCTCGCGACCACCGCCACGGTATTATTTCCGGCTTCTGGTTGGCCACATTCGAATTTCTGAAGACGCCCTGGAGCACGCCCAGCCCGCTTTCGGCCAATGGCGCCTCCTCATTTGTCTCCTATACTTCCAACGAATGGCCAAACTCTCTACATATACGGCTCTGGTTTGTTGCGGGTTTAAAATATCCAGACAGGCCCCTTCCTGGAAGTTCTCTGCTTGCCATGATTGGCTGTTTCCGCCTCTCCAGCATTTTCTCTGCCAAAGCGGAAAGAGCGAAGGGCTTTGTGGAACGAGCTCATCCCTCTATTCCTCGTCCGACTAGAGTGAACGTTTTGCAGGGCCTGCGAGATCAAATCAATGCTACCCAATTTACGAGACGGTTGTTTATAACATTGTCGGAATTCTTTCGAGCCCGCAGTGAAACAGCGATGCGGAAAAATGTAAGAAATATACGGGCAGATCGGAAGTGTTTCAGGGGTGTACATGATAAATGGCGCCAGTCTAGAAAATAATAGAAATAAAAATATTTAGATGTTTAAGGTCAGTCTGCTTTCGAGGTATGGCGACACTTGTTTACGCCGTGAGAAATTTAGCCAGTGCAGTACGATGACTAGCCTGGGGTCTTTAATATGTGACGATTTAAGTCGATGGCCTAGTTGGTCATACATCTCAAACAGTTAGCGCTAAAGACAAGGACGTGTAGGAGAATGGACAAGACAAGCAACTTGTCCTTTCCAGTGTTCTACTTGTCCTAGTCTTTCATGCTAACTGGTTTTGAGATGCAACGTGCATTACGTGTCGATATGATGCTCATCCAGATTGAAACGGGCAAGGGAGGGAGAGTTGAAACTCAGGATTCCCGGGTTGTGCACGGAAGCGGTTATGATCAAGCACAGCACACTCACTCGATCGCACCGGAACACAAATCTGCGAACCAGCGTTTAGAGTTTCCTCGACGAGACATGGTTTACGTGCTCTGAGACGCGTCCTGTTAATTTCAGGTGGAGGCGGTGCCTTCGGTAATCATGTTCCAGAACGGCAAGGAAACGGACCGTTTTATGGGGCTCAAGGACCAAGACCAAATAGACACCTTCCTCGACAAGGTCGTCGCATCATAGTCATCTAGTAGGCGGGCACGGTGGTCGCATTGTTTGTAAATAAACGATTCACATTAACCTTTGTACGCTCAAACACGCAGTCATCACAAACACTCTTTGTGGAAGTATCGACACCTGGCGATCTTGGAAGGGATCTCGCAATTCAAGGGGGGTTTCGCCAAACGCTGCACATTGACGTCTGTCAAAACTCGGCCAAAAGGTATTGAGCACGCTTATGAACCCGAACACGCATAAAAATATATGTTTGGGAATAAATGCACACTGTGACACTGTTAGAGCAAACACAAAATCAATGTTTTTTCAGATTTTTTTTTTTTTTTTAAGCGGTATAGTTGATTATTAAATTTTCCTGCTTAGGTTAGTGCCCCACACAAGTGCTTCCCACCTCACTGATAACTTAGATGACAGACTTTCAGTTATAAGGAAGAAATAGCAATGACTGGCAATCGTTTGGTCACACTAACGTCGTTGCGCTGCACACACCACAGTTTGTCGTGGTCAAATCTCAACTTAAGTTCGATAAATGTTTCGAAGACGATTCTCTCGAAGATATCATAAAATACTGAGCAGGTGCCCTCCCCCTCCTAAGGGTTAGAGATAACCTTGAAAACATGGGGCATGGGCACTTGTTAGGTCTGAGCAAAAGTACAGAAGGGGCACCAAGGTTGGGCGGGCTTTACCACTTAGCACCAGTGCATTAAGCTTCACCGCATCGCACCGGCGTGCTCGGAGGAGCAACCGACACGGAGGAGCATCTCGGTTATACTCTCTGACAACTTTCTGCGACGTTTCAAATGAAGTGGAGAGTGTGCCTGCACAGCTTCGAACGGCGTTCGAAATGCGCAAGCGCCTGTGCTTCTGTAGCTTTGACTGCATAGCCACAGAAAGTTGATCGCGACCAGAGCTAGGAGCGCTCAGGAGTTTGTGGCGAGCACTTGATATGTCCTTTGCTTGTTTCTCCAACATTACAAGGGCAACAGGCAGGCGCTTATTGCATCTGGGTGCACATCCATATTTGTTGCATCTGGGTGCACGTCCATATTTGACGCAATACATCCGTCTTTTGCGCAAGTCATAAATCGACCGTATAACATTTTGTGCACGCTGCTCAAAAGCTTACTGCAATCCCAATTACCTTTGAGCTGTGCCAAGCCTTTGCAATGCGACTCAGAACTACAGAACCGTCTCCACTCTGAAATTCTGACGCTGGGATTGCCGGCTCTGTAGTTCAGTGCAGACACGATTGGCGGAGCTTATTTGATGCCGTACATGCAGGAACTGGTTGTTTTATTTCTAAGTGGGATGAAAAGCCTCACGCAGAGGAAAAATTGAACACCGCTGCACCCAGGGATAAAAGTGATCTCTCTGTGTGTGCGCATGCAGGAAAAATGGAAGATTTGTCCGCATGCTAGGAATGTTTACATGTAGGATCGACGGACAGTATTAGATATGTGATATGCTACAACGTCCTCGGCTCTGGGTATTTGCCGTTCTTCGTGGCTCAGCAACATTTTTTGGCACCACCGAATACCACTAGATGAAGTTGCTTAGCACCATAAATGAGACTTGAGCTTGAAAGCTCTTACTAAGCAAAACGCAGGACGTTTGAGAGAAATATAATGCATGTTTCTCCAACTGCAAGAATAAAGCACAAATTGCAGACCACTCAGTCTCTGGGTAGTGGATGTCAAGGTTACTTAGCAGCACCTGAATCGAAAGATATAAGAGATGCTCGAAAACATTTAGTGAGAAAATGGCGGCCAACAGTTCCCCAAATACATGGAGACAAATAGCGTAAGCTACCAGGAACAGGCACCCTTTTCTCATTGAATACTCCCAGAAATTTCATAAAACTTTTTATCTGGATAGCACCAAGCTCTAAAACTTTGGCATCCGTTTCATCCCAACCCCTAGCACACCATTTGGATGGCGACCGAGCGTTCGGCGATACATGTTTTATTTTTGCAGTGGGAAAAACAATTAACATTTTCTCCCAAATGCCCTATAAACATGCCTAGATCTTAATCCTTGGCAAATCATTGTCCACATATCTGAGCAGATTTTTTAGCCACCCTTAAGATGGAAACTTTCTTCTCCCTTATATTAGTGAAAGTTGCACCACAGTTCTCTGCCACAACTTTTCGGTGACATGGACACACTACCCCCAACGTTATCACTGCCATCTAAACACATTCTGTCGGAGTTCAAAAACAAAAAGTGTGATCAAATAGAAAAAAATCATTAACTACAAAGAACAAAAATACCATTGGCCAGTTGAAGTACAGAGACTAGCTTCTGTACCTAGAGCAGCATCAGCGAAAAGCTTCTTTCATGCTGCAACGTTCCTCAGCACTCATCCACTGCCATAACTAGAACTCTTTACAGCGACATTCAGCCCTGCTGGTGAAGTTGACTTGTCGAGCAATTTTTTGCTTCCGCTTTTGATGATGGCGACCTGAAGGTGCTTTGCTGTTGGTTTTCCTTGTTCCTCTGCTGATGACAAATTCTAACGGGTCACAGCAATGTCCAAGGTCACCGCTGATTGCTTATCGTAGCATAATACTGTAATGCAGTCCTGCCTTCTTCAGTCTGCAATATAACTCCAGTAAGACTCCCAACTTCTAGCAATGCAAGAATGCCGTATCATTGACGCACAGTTTTGAACAAGGATGACAGTGCAGAAGGACTGCAATCTTGAGCGACACAACACACATTGCACCATGGATTAGACTAAACAAGGACGCTGTTGTAGCAGGGTGCCACAATCATCAGCGATGCAGTCTACAGGTCGGTCTGACATTTCTAAGTGAAGATGATGTTGCAGTAGCATTCTACGATCTTCAGCAATGCAGACATTCTACAGCCTGGTCTGACAGTTCTTAGTGCTCAGCAGTCTTCAGCAACACAAAGTCACTGCACCGTGGTTTGATCGTTTTAAACGGGGACGCCATTGCAATGCAACGTCGTCGCCTTCAGCGATGCCAGCGAAGGTCACCCTTGAGACACTCGGCAGCCTTCGCCGACACCCCAGCATGCCTGGGCAGCCTTCAGCAGTGTCGGCTGCCCTCGGCATGGCTGAGCAACCTTCAGCTGCTGTGTTGGGCAGATGTCCGCTGCTGCTGGAGCCTGAGCCTCTTGGCCCGGCTCTTCATGACTGCAAAGTAGAGCCAGGGCCACAGCACCCTGACCATCATGACGACGCGAGGCAGCATGGCCGACACCACCACGTCCGTCCTCCGGTTGACCACCGCCTCCAGGACTGCGTCTGCTACCTCTTCAGGAGCCATGCCAGTTGCCGTTGTCTCGTCCATCACTGACGAAATGAAGCGCGCAATACTTTACAAAACGGTTAACTCCCATCATCATCATCAGTAAGTTGATTATTTAACATTCTGGTTTAGAGTATAGTGCAAGGGTGGTCAAACAGAAATACGCAAAGAGTCCCAGAAAAGAATTCCATCAAGGGGGCCATGAAATGATTTTTCAACTTCTTCCTTCTTATCTGAACTCACAAATTGCGCAGGGTTGCCAAAGGTACAAGGGCAAGAGTATATCGCTAGCAGTTCAAGAGGAAGGAAAGGAGAAACTCTGCTCTTGCTCGGACCGACCTTTGTGTACCTGCACCATCGCCATTCTCCCCCAGAAGACTAGACAGTCGTTCAAAATTCGGACGAAAGTCCGCAGTACTGTGTGCAACTATCCTCCATTCACTCCTAAGCTGACTGTGGTGTGGAAGCCACGTGCTCATTGGGACAGTTACATTTCCATCTTTTGCCACATGATCACGCTCCCTCGCGTATACCCTTGCGCGGAGAATGGGGTCAGGTGATGAGAGGTAAATGGCCGATTGGACCGGCAAGCGCGTAGCTCCCACTACACTGTCAGCTCGGGGGCGAACGGAGTACACTGAAATAGTATAGAGACGCAGTGCTCGTGTACAATGCGTGAGCTGCGACCGACTGAACAGCTTTGGGTACCGCGGATGTATCACAGCGAAAAGGCGGAGAGCTTCCTAAGGAAAGGTGGTACGAAACAGTCCGCTACGCTTTCAAATTTTTGTACCAAAAAGCAGGCTTTTGACTTTCTACCTTTTTTTTTTTGTCCACTAAACGATGTGTGATTAGTTAAATCCCAATCTGAATTCATTCATCCCAGCTCAAAATTGATTTCATGGCCTCTTTAAAGAAAAACACTACCCAGAAAAAAAAAAGAATTCCATCAAAAAAATAGTTTTTGAAAAATGCTAAATTTACATCTGCCAACATCTAGAGAATATTCTTAGAAAGTTTCATTTGTTTACACTGCATATACATTTTTTTTTCATAAATTATTTTTGGTTTATTAGCCCCTTAAGTGCCTTGGACGAGCTGAGCTCGTCGGCCATTTTTGGGCTAAAAATGCCATGGACGAGCTCAGCTCGTCCAGTGGTTTTTTCGGTAGCCCTCAATTTTACGGACAAACAAGGCTTGTCCTAGCAGTTTCGCGGCGCTGATCATAGATGACAGCACTTGTATTAGTTAGCAAATAATTTTTTCGCCTCCGCTGATTTTTTTTGTAATAAACTTTTCAAATTATATGTGTAATACTAGAGGAATAAAAATGCAAAATAAAAAAATATGGCACTTTTAGGGTACTTTTGGGGAAAAAAATGTGGCACTTAAGGACACCTTAAAGGGGCGGTGCAACGATTTTATGATTAAAAGAATTTGCATCTCGTCATTTTTACGTTGTTTATCGTGTCCCAGAGGATAGAGAAAACACTTCCTACATTAAAAATGTCGCGATTCCGCTGCATAATCGCAAAGCAAAAGTCGAGCTTTTTCCCCCACCTGCAGCCCCAACTGGCAGCCGAAGGAACTACGGCGGAAAGATTACGTGACCTCGCTCGGCTCTAAGCCGCAGCATAGCACCCGCTAATGCACGCAGAGAGAGGGAGGGGAAGCGTCCTCCGAGATAGCACACGGGAAGCTACACGGCACTCCGAATGACGTCACTGGGAGCGCGACAAGGTGTGACCCTGAAGACTGGGAGTGAGTTGAGGGGTGCCCGAAAGGCCAATCTTTATCTTTTTTTTACGCAAAAACTAGGAGACGCAGGCGAAATCGGTTTTCTGTTCTTTACTTCAGAAGTGTCAGGGGAAAACTTCCAGAAATCTTTGACCAAAGTCCGAAAATCGTTGCACCGCCCCTTTAAGTGCCACAAAATATGGCACCTTGAATACTATGATAATGTAGTGATTGCGCAGGCGAGCTGGTGGATGTTAACCATTTTGTTCTTAGCCCGAGACTGAGGCAGGAAAAGAGGAAAGTTTCGAAGTAGAAGAAAAATGAACAGTCGAGGACACGTCTCTAACACAGCTCAGAGCTGTGTTAGAGACGTGTCCTCGACTGTTCATTTTTCTTCTACTTCGAAACTTTCCTCTTTTCCTGCCTCAGTCTCGGGCTAAGAACAAAATGGTTAACCTTGAATACGTTTTTCTCCGTTTTACTTTTTGGCATAAATTTTACTTAAGGAAAACTATTGTTTGATAACAAGATAAAAGGAAAGGCTCACTCATTGTTTTTCCTAACTGGTGTTGAATGGGCAATGCCGCTGTAGCAATGCTTTTTTTTACCTTGTGGATGTCTTTCATCAAAGATGTTAATATTTTGTCGACCACATAAAAGGGAAAACAACTTATTTGACTTTTCAGCGCGACATTACCATAAAATAAATTACTTTTTGGATATTTTGTCTACATAGTTCCACTCTCCAGGCATTCTGCTGCATATCTAGTGAAGAAAAATAATGGGCAGTATTACATTAGTTTTCAATGATAGTTTTCCTGAACAATGTCAGTGTGTTTCTGATAAAAAACGACTAGGTAATTTATTTCACAACTTATATATGCGGATGAAACTTTGCACTGCATCCTGCCTTGCAATTGCCAGTATATACAGTAAATTTCATTCATATTGAGCCAAAGGTTCAAAAGTTGACCCTTTTGGGTCCGTGTCATCCCTTCGCTCTTTCCTGACCGTGCCCATAGGCCATTGATCACCGGTGTTCAATGGTTTCCAAGTGCCATCAAGAAATTAAGTTTAGTGTGGAGAATTATGTTCCACAATCTCGTGGATAGCCGAAGAACTGTAATTTCGGTTTCAACGTAGGTTTGAGCTTTATCACAAGTTGGTGGGCTGTCAAAAATAGTCCTGGGAACAGTGGTTGCACTTGTCTAAGACGGCTAACTGCTTGCATCAGTCTTCAAAACGATGATGGCATTATTTAAATAATTTAACTGTATTGTGGCACATCTTTAGACCTCAAGAGCTCTGGGGACATTTTAAATGATTTCATAGGTGTCGCTTAACGGATGGTTGTCGGTAAGCATCACTGTAATCTCCAATGCTGTCCTGAGGCGGCATGCACATTTTATGATCCCAACAGGGTGGGCAAAAATGCTAAATACAGTCTAAGCTCATTAAAACAGACCTGGTTACAACAGGTATTTGGATATAACATACCTATTTGTGAAGTTCGGTTGTTTTTCGCGTACATACCATTTCACTTAACTTCATATCTGCATACAACATACTCCTTTTACAACAGACCGAAATCTTGGTCAAAATCAAGGTTTGTTATAACGACCTTAGACTGTATGAAGTAACTAAAATCAAGGCTTTGACAAAGCCAAGGTAGACCACAAAGAAAGTATTCTGCAGGGGATGTGAGGTGTGCTACCTGTGTTTCACTAATATGAGCATTGGTTCATCATTCATTGAAAAGCACACGCATTACAGAGGCTAACTCTCCGACGAACCAAAAATAGACAATGTCAGTTAAAGTACACCAACTTTCAAAAATCAAAGTCGTGGGTGTGGGGCACATTTTTCATATTCTGAAGTTTTTTTTATTCGTCATTTAATTTGACATTAGCTGTACAAGTTCCGGTGTTTATACGTTTATACACCTTCCGCACAGACATTGTATTTTCAAGAAATTGAATTTTACATTAAAACAATTATTGCTTTTTTTTTTTTTTTAAAGAACAACTAATTGGCCACATCTTCATGTGCCATAGTGTTCCACACGCACACTAGCTAGGGCAGTAAAAGCGGTTGCACGAATCCTTAGAAAATTACTACTTTTCCCGTGGTCAGCAAAGAGGTAAAGCCCGTCGAACAAAAATAAACTCTTCCTGTCATAAGAAGTCTATTTTCCTTCGTTTCCCCCTCCAATTTTCTTCTCACTTCTTTGCATCCGTCTCGCATGCTAAGCATCTAAGCGGCTTGTAACCCCCTAAACCTGAACAACAGGGATGAGTCGCGCTGCCAGTAAACAAGCACCGAAAGAGGCTGTTTCTATCGCTTGACCTGGATTCGTGGACCGCTCTTTGTGTGACGGGCTCAAGAGTTCCTTTTCGGGAAGGACCCCATACTCCTTTTGTTTTTAAGCCGACAGTATGTGGCAGAAGCTACATGCTCGTCGGCGGATCGGTCCCATGTCTATCTTTAGTCACATGATTACAAGGGAGGGCGTCGATAGGTCCAGCGAGTGCGTAACACCCACAGCACAATCAGCTTAAGGGGCAACGGAATTCTTTTTTTTTTTAAGGCAAAAGCCTTATACGTTTTATTACACGAAAAGGCGGCGGCGGCGTTGCGCCCGAAAGATGGCCATAGAAATATGTCATCAAGCACACGCCGCTCCAGGTCAAAGCAGACGTGCCTCCGAAATAAAGCACAAAGAAAAGCACAGCAATGCAGATGCTTCGTCACGGAAGCTGTGAAGCAGGGGGGTGTCCAAACGTTCCCAGAGCGGGAACGTTTGGACGCCCCCGCTTCGGGCAGACGGAAAGAACCGTACCTCCATAGGTGGAGCCGCTGCCGGTGAGGGCGTTCACCGACAGGTTGGTGCGGATGTAGCCCGGCGAGACGACGCACACGTGGATGTCCTTGTGCGCCACTTCCGACAGCAGGGTGTCGAAGAAGGCTTGGGTCGCGTGCTTCGACGCGGCGTCTGCAAGGGGGCACGTTTGTGCAGTTTGAGATCGGAAAGTTCGCATAAGCTGCCCATATCTGGAGATCCACTGCTCCACGAGAAAGTGAGATAACCACCAAGTAAGTACACATTGAATCTTTGTCTGCTTCCCCACACACTACACCCGTGGGCAACTTCATGCAACGTTTTCGATGAGAGGGAAGGCGTGCGTGCACGGCTTTGATCGGCATTCATACACATGCTCTCATACCTTTGATTGTTTGGCCACAGAGAACGGTCCACGTGTATGGTAGATTTACCAGTTGATGTTAAACGAAGTAGACAGAAGCCCAATATTCTAGTTCTCCTATGTGCTCTTTCCCAAATTTATAGACCCGTTTATTGAAAGTGCCGGAAGGAAGTGTTGTTGGCAATTGACATCCCCGTAAACTTCTGGTCGAATGAGAGGGCAAACAACCCCCGCCATAGCACAGCTTCTTGCAACGTTTATGAGATCATTTATGAACACTATCCCGAGTGATTAGCTAAAAAAAACGGTGAGCGAGAGATTTGTTAAAGATTTTTTAATACTCCCATAAGACAACCAATCCACTCTTCTCTGCTTCGTAGCATGGCAGAAGGACCTCGCTAGGTCCCCGACTTTGTGATTTCTGTAGAACTTCGTCGGCCCACAAATAGTGACATCAACAAGCTTTGAAAACCTGCCGAAATGGAGCGAACGGAAGTCTCTTAAGGGGGCAAGAGACAACTTGTGTTTGTAAACAGTAAAAGGGTCTATAAGGTTGGGTTTCACACTGATGCTTGCATCATATTGACATCAATATTTGTTGTTTTTCCAATGCGCATAACGATCTCCCAGTCTCCTTTTTGGTGCACAAAAGGGCTCTCGTACACAAGCAATAATCCAAAACGCAACATGACACAAATGACGGGAAAGATATCCTTAAAAACTGGTAAGAACACCCATTTCAACGTCCACTATCAAAATATTTAAAAAATTATTTTGACGTCTGCGAAGTCACTTGTCTTCCCAAAAAGCGCAGTCCGAAACAATGTCCGCTTCTAAACCGGAACTAACTGAAATCCTCGAAGGTATATTCGTGAGTAGTAGTTAAAAACGCATTCGGGGTTGCCGCTTGTGCATCGTGAAGCGAGTGCAATGCCTTATTAATGTGATCATAAAATTGCCTTTCTACAGGATGTTTACGTGGGCAGAAATTGAGGGAGAGAAGGAAGTGAGAGCGTGCAGTGACATGAGAACACCGATCTCTGGTTGGAACTATCAGTGGGTAGACACAAAGCTACCTGCCTTTATCTCCACTGCACTGTTTGAATGAGCTAGAAAGCGGAACGACGCATTTGCATTCAAACAGTGCAGTGGAGACAAAGGCAGCTAGCTTTGCGTCTGCCCACTGATAATTCCAACCCCAAAACAAAAAAACATTCTAGGATTAAAAAAAAAAAAAAAAAAAAGCCAACACTTTTGGCAGTCTTGTCCTACATTACGTACATGCAGCTGGAGTGGTTTTTGACACATGTGTGTCCAGCGAGCCTGTTTCTTTTATTGTTCTAGAAGGAATTTCTAACCGCGTACCAGTGGTGGCTAGCAAACCATGCAATCATTTTTGCTTAGCGGTTGAAGAAATGTTCTGCTGCCTGGTGTTGTTTGTTGTAGTCGACAATTATACTTGTCCTCTTTGGGAAAGACTGTTCCCTTCACATTGTTTCTTGTTAAAAGCCCCCCGCCCCCTTTTTGCTTTCCTCCTGCGGCTCTCTGAATTTTCGTGTTATGTCTGCGGCTCTAACCCTATGTCACTCTGGCCACCCCTGGTCTATCCACAAGATGGAGCGTTTTTCTGAGGAGGGAATTAAATGTCATAAAGTTTAGAGGTCACGTACGCCGCGTCGGGGACGTTTGCCAATCCCCCGAGCCCGTGGGCAGCCACGGAGAATCTGCCACTGGCCTACAGGATGTCCGTTGTCTTGTAAGAGTGATTGCTCTCCATCCTCTTGGGGAAGGATTAAAGCCAGCAGCATCAAGCTGCAGAGTGCCTTTTTGTTCTTCTTCTCTGCCTTTCGTGTGACGAAGGTCGCGCAACGTGTTGCACGAAAAGAAAGACTCCGCCGACTGAACTCCGTGAGACCCCAGTCATGCGAATGCTCGCTCGGATATCCTGCATACAATTACACCGTCGGTTCGAGCAACTTAAAGACAGACGACCAGTTCGCGCTTTCCACTTTTCGCTCGCTTCCTCCTCTCCCTCCTACCCTTTCCACCTACGCCCGCCCCTCTTGGTCCCTTCTTTCCATCCTTCGCTTCCCTCGCTTGAGGGCATGGAGAGGAGGGTCTTCTGCCTTGCAGAATCTCGAGTCTGGTCGTCGGCCTTTAAGACATGGCGGAAATGCGGGTTTTCGTCGCACGACACCAGAGACGCTCTTATTTGCGAACGGTCTATTGCTGATATAGTTGAGCTCAGGAGCAGACAGAAATGCTCACTCTTGCAACGACTACCCACTATAACGCTGCAGTGCCGCATAAAATACGCCATCAATAAATAGCATAGCAGAGAGCCTTGCAGAAGCACACATTCAACTGAAACCCTGCGACAAGATGGTGGCACCACAGTGCGGCTCCTAGCAGAAGAATTTCGCATAGATGTGTGCAGCAGCCGACCTCAGATTCTAATCCAAGGTCAGCTAAAGGGCTGTCCAAACGGGACAGAGCAGAAGCCGTGTTTACTAAATTCATGGCATGTGCTGTACCCCGGTCCGCTTTCATACGATTTTCTTTGCCAGGGGGAAGTTTCCCTCTGCCTTCGTTCTTGAAGAGAGGTTTTGAAGCGTGCTGATCACGTGGGTCTGGACAGCCACTCAGACGCTCTGCTGGCTGTCATCAAGGCCTCTGGCGTTGTCGTCTGTCCCCCAATCTCCCATAAACAAGAAAGGTGAAGAGACAACGGCAAGGAGACGAGGAGGAAAGCCGTGGTGTTTGCATGGTTTATGTCCAAGCTAAAAACGGATGCATGCGCGCACCGCAACTTTTAGGTTTTTTGAGAGAAGTGTATGCTTTTCTTGCGGAGCGAGGCTTCTGCCGTGTCCTGTTTGGACTGCCCGTTACCCCCGGCGCAGCGCCGAACGAAACACTCTAAGCTACCATTGGTGTTAACTTTTTTTTGCACAAGACCCAGAAATGGAGAACAGAAATGCACTCCATGCACTGGCAAAAACAACAAAAAAAAAACGCGATTGCATCGATTGCAGTACGTCTCTCGATTCGCCAGCGAGCGAAGACCAATTTGGTAATAAGTGCAAACAATACTTCTCATGCACATTTTACCACCTACTGGCGCTGGCAATGTCCCGTGACGACTTCCGGACCACCCAATACACAAGCGCTTCGCAGAGGCACGTCATAGCGCGGATAAGCGAAAGATACGGCGGCACGTAGCCGCTCACAACTGCAGGGGACAGAACTGAAACCGCGCTTCGAGCAACTCCACCGAGTCAAACGATGCGAAAACACACACGGGGCAACGCCGGACACAAATATGTCTTCGAACGTTGAGGTGCCTAAACCTTTACTCCGGAGCAAGACCGACCGACGAAGCCGCGGGAAGATGCAGAGACCTGGCCAAAACGCCGCGGGCCCATTTGAAGAGGCGACAGCGGTAGCGCGCTCTGCCGTGCAGACGTAACGTGGGCACTGTCATCGTTGTCACTGCCAACCGGCTACCATAAGGCAGAGCGGCATGCCCGCTTTAGCCGTCGCACACTCCCCCAACAGAATCGGTGCGCAGTTCCCGACCTCCACTTTCCCGCCTCGGACGAGACCGAAACGAGCGTCGGTGTGACGACGACCGGACTCACATGCGGATCGAAAGGGGAGTCCGACTTTTCCCTGGACGCTGCTGATGGCCACGATGCAGCCTTCCTTCGCCTCCAGCATGCTGGGCAGGACGGCTGCGGACGAAAGGACGGGAACACGGCTTGATCGAAGCACCGCAGACGCCGAGAAAGTGTGGTACCGCGACGTCTCCTTACTGCAGACGGCTCGGTTCCCGCTAAACATCGACCATAATGCGAGTCTAATAATGTTAACGAGACGAAAATCCGTGTACGGCATGTCTCCCCAAAAATCTTACCATGCTTTTTTTTTTCTCTCTGCAAAAATAAACTGCATCGCCAAACGCTCGTTCTCCGCTCAAATGTAGCGCTAGCGGTCCAAACCAGTTGCCAAAGTTTCAGAAGTAAGCATTAGATCCGTCAAAAGTGGGAAAATGGGGCCTGTTTTCGCCGACTGGCACCAATCAGCGTTACGTATTCGGGAGGTCTGTCGCCTGCCATTTTTCCATCGAGAATTTCAGAACATCACTTATAACTGGGATTCCATATTTTCGGGGTTTATTTTTCGTCAAATATAAAGGGCGTTTTCTGGAGCTTTGTTTTTTGCCGAAAATTCGGAGTTTATCGGAGCTAGTTTTTGTTTGATTCCCAATTCTCGGAAATTTAGAGCTTAATTTTTATGTTAATTTTAGTGTTTCTTGATTTAAAAAAAATATAAGTGAATAATATCCGGGTGTAGACGTGTGCGACATTCAAAAGAATGTGCTTGTGTCAGTTAATACTTCTTCAGCGGGATTTGGTGTTGGTGCCATTGCCATTGGCAATACAGTGTAGACCGCATATAACGTATGTTGCGGGAGTCGCAAAAATCCGCACTATAAGTGGTACCGCGCTACAACCAAAACATCAATTTTTCAGGCCAAAGTGCATGCCATCAGACATCTTACCTTTGTAAAAGAATTTATTTTATGTTAGATGAAAAATAAAGCTTAATTTGAGGAAAGTCTTTATTTAACCAGACTATTACACTTCTCTCTCAAGTGTGTCACACATTTTGAAAGAAATGAGCGACTTTTGCCTGGCGCAGCCTTTTAACGGCGTCGCAGGTTGCGGACGAACGTTGGTGAGCATTCAGGATAGCTAACCCTAATCACTTTTCTCCGGCGATGAAAACACATGAAAATTCGCATCCTTTATACAGTACGCACCGATAATACCTTCAAATTGAGCACAGGCATGAAATGCTCCAAATAAGAAATCCGGGCGATGTTCGAAAACACAAACGCTTAGAATGCACCACTGTAGTCAAAGTAAACAAACATGACGACACAGGCATTTCTGCCGTCTTGAGAGTGCCGCCACAACATCGCTGCACGAGTAGGTGGATCTTCCCTTCTAGTACGCGCTGGGTTATCACAGCGACACACAACGAAAATTCACAGTCAAGGATAACGCTTTTACGCGGAACGATGAGCTTCTACCATGCCGTCTACGTCGACGATCAAAACCGACGGCATGTTTGCGGATAGAAGCAGCCGGCCGGCCGGCCCTGCAACCGGCATGCAACACGCGCGAACACTTCTCCTCGACTTGCGATTGGTCTGTCGTTGCGGTTGTTTCCAACGCATCGGAGGGACGCACGCACGTGAACGACACGTGCGTGCATCCCTCCTTCGCTATGCCAACTGAAGCCTCTCTCTTTGCTTCTCCCCGCTTCTTCGAGCAACCTCCTTGCCCCGCGAGTGCCGCATGCGGCTCGCGCCGTTATCTAGTGTCGCACAGGGAAGCGTGCTCTGTGCGACACTGTGCGGTTTTCGGAACAGCCCGGCGCGGTCGCCGGGCTGTTCAGAAAACCGCACTATAACCGGTATTTCCCTTCGCGCGCCTGCATTTTATGCGCTATGTAATTACATGGAGTTCTATGGGAGGCGAACCGGTGGTTTAAAAAAGCCGCGTTATACCCGGTCCTGCACTATAAGCGGTTATGTTGTAAGTGGTCTATACAGTACTAATTTATCCCACAACAAAAGTTGGAAACGAGTGTTGCTTCGACAAACATTGATACCTTAAATTCTATAAAATCCTGGAGGTAGTCACTGGGAAGCTCGTATAAATCCCATCCTGTCCATTAGCCTTTACCCTGTGGCTGCACAGGGAACAGTGGTAAATGGTGTAGCATAGAAGCTTTAACTACCTGTCCTCTTTCTCTCTCTCCCCCCCCCCCTCCCCTCCCCCCCCCCCCCCCTCCCCTCCCCTCCCCTCCCCTCCCCTCCCCCCCCCCCCCCCCCCCCCCCCCATGAAATCTCTATCATTCATAGCTTTCACGGTTATAAAAACACATCCCCTCCTTCCTCTAAGAAGCATGCAGTGACCCAAAAGTACAATGACCTGTTGTCCTGAATGAACCTTGATGAGACAAGCAGTAAGATCCCTTTTGTCAATGGTTCTGAGATTTGAAAGGAAACAGTGTAGCTGTTTCCTCAAAACAAATTACAATTTTTTTTCTGGATAGGTACATTGAAATTTGTCTATCAGATAAACCTGAATTGATAAAAATTTTACCGACGGGCGTTTTTTGGATCTATTCGAAAACACTCAACCCTACTTATAACTTTCAAAAAAAGATAACGGTTAGTTCTGAAACTCCGGCAACTAGTTCAAATCGTTAGTGCTATATTTAGGCAGAGAACGAGCGTTCAGCGATACATAGTTAACAATTGCGGTGAAGGAAATGTTGTTGTTTTTTGGGGGGGACATTTTGTATTTATCCAGTTCATCCCCGAAAATCATAACTGTAACACAATGTTTCCTAAAAAAAATAGAAAAAGTAATTGTGGTTTGGATGGGAATTGTCATTTCTCCCAGCTCCTTCCGTCAACTGGTCACCTTTGGTGAGGGCAACATGTCCGAAGTAGTTGACCATCATCAGCTTGACGTCCACCTCGATGGAGGTCTCGCTGGCCTCGCCGCGGTAGCTGATGCCGCCGCTGTTCACCAGGACGTCTACCCTTCCGTGGATCTGCAGCGCCTGCTCTGCCCTGTCAGGGATGTTGGTCAGGTCGGCCAAGTCGAGCTGGACCACGGCCGGGGCATGCCGCCTCGAGGGCTGCGGACCAGGAGACAGTTCGCGCTCGATGCCGGTTCAGACGGTTCGTAGACACCCACCACAAGGAGCAATAGGTCCAAGAAACTGGTACCTCAAGATGACCCGTGGCCATTTAGGACAAAAGATAAAGATGACAGAGACACAGAAGATCCACAATAAGTGATGACCATCGATGACATAAAGAGCTGGGTGTCTTGAAGACTGCAGATCAGATGATATATAGGGCAACCCAAAGCGGACCTTCCGCCGTAAAACGAACCAGAAAAATCGGCGCTTACACATCGAAGGCTCAAACTTGCATTGAATGTGCAGTAAGGAGGTAGGTCTTGCCATGCGATATTTCAAGGCATAGTTCCCTTCCTGTAAACGCTGAGAGCAAAAAACTTGCCAAAGTCCACACTAGGTACGCTTGCAGACGACCGAGTTATTGACTCTATTAGCACCGCAAGTTAAAAGCATCGCCGACTCGGGGCACCCAATGTGGACTTTGGCAAGTTTTTTGCTCTCATTTTTTTACAGGAAGAGAATCGTGCCTCAAAATTTCATGCGTTGAAACCAACCTATTCGTTGCACATTCGGCAAAAGTTAGAGCTTCGATGTGCAGGCGCCAATGTTTCCAACTCACTTCACGGCGGAAGACCCGCTGGGACACTCTATAGACTAAATGGCCATAATACACTCACTAATAAAATGTTTAATGGCTGACCGAGGACCCGAAGGAAGTTTATGCTTGATGTTGGTTTGGATGGTCCATAAACACCCATGGCAAAGTAATAGAACAAAGCAATTTTTGACGTGCTTTGGCTGCACGTGCACACTCAAGGCAGACGAGATGCCGAAGCACTATGGAAGGTGGCAAGCACTCGACCGGAGCCGGGGCAACTGAAACTCCTCCCCGCTATTCTCATTCTGCGAGTGACTTAGATGTCTTGACACCACTGGTAGATCGGCTAACGTCTTGCAGCCTGAACAATCCCCTGCACTCGTCTTTGGTCTTTCTCTTTCTACGGCATGGAAAAAGAAGGCAGATCCTTCACCTGAGCAGAGTGCAGCAGTTCCTGTCTGACCCTCTCCAGCTCGCCAACACGTCGAGACGCCAGGATGACCTTGCAGCCTGCCGCATAGAACTTGTGTGCCAGCGCTGAAACGTGGAACAATAGGGCTTGAGAAACGCCACTCTGTTCGCGCAATCTGCTCTAGCTTAAAACGAAACTGCGGAAACAAGGCTGCAAATGTTTCACGCAGGGAACGTAATATTGCAGCAATCAATCCACATGATCCGAAACGAATGGTGCCTGTTACTACTAGCCCATCTTGTTGGATGACCTGTGAAGCTCGAACGTGCGTGCACTAAGGCCGTGACACACTTTTCGTCGATTGCTGTGCAACTTCGCACTTCCACTCTTCTGCTAGTCAATGTCGGTCGGGGAGAACCAGACAATGGCAGACTACATCCGCTGGTATTTATCACGTGTAATGTGCCATGGTGAGAAAAGAAAGACTATTTTTCTAGGGTAACTTTTTCAAATTTACTTCACATTCGTCTTGCGAGAGCAAACAGCCATAAAGTGCACGGTCATGGCCAGAAGCTGCTGCTGTGCATGAGTAGATGGCATCTCTTCATTCCCTAGAACCGTAAAGCTGTGCATGACAACATAAATCTAGCGAGAACTACTTTATCAAGGAAGTTCTGCACTGCCTCAGGATGCTATAATGCAATAATCAATCTGCTATCTGATGGATCAGACTTGTATGTTGTTTTGTATTCATAGTGAGACAAATACAAAAATGTAGAAGGTGCTGACAGAGGAGCGGTGATAGCAGACAGTGAGAAAGAAGACAGAGAGGGGTGGTGGTGCAACGACCACTGAAGACTGTGAGCCTTGACCTCAGCACTTCAGCTCATGTTTAAGCTTTCAGGGCATCCAACAGGAGGCAATGGTAGTATTGTGCCATGATATGTAATGCCATTTTAGATTACACTGATTGTAATGGTAGACCTCTTTTTTCTTCACATTACTTAACTATTTGCTTAAGCCGACATTCTGTTAGTTTTTAAGTATTTTTAACGTTTTTAATATCAGTGCCTCTCATAATATTTTAATAAAATGGGCCCAAAGTGGCTATGGGCCCAGATGGTTTTCCAGTAACTTGTAATATGCATTAACTCTAATAAAAAAAACAATGTTGAGGTTGCCTTGCTCCACTCTGCCAAGCTTTTCAGTTTGAGTTAAGAATTCTTTGAAACTTGAATTCATGTACTGATTTACTGCATTCTACCAACAGCAAGAATCATGCAGAGAAAACTAACCTGCCAGCAGCACATTGTAGTCATGCACAGGAGGCAGATAAGCCAAACAAAAGGCCTCCAACACCTTCCAATTTACTTCCTGTTATTTTTGTTTTTTCTATATTGTTTATGAATATCCTTTCTCTATTGTGCCACATTGTCTACCCATTCGACCTGTTTACTGTTCTCTAAATTGAAAATTATAGCCCTGGCCCCAAGGAGAGCCATTATCCATTCAATCAAATCTGTCATATTTACCACCATATCATTGTGAAATACTATGGAAAGGACAGGTGGCATCCAAGACGGCTCCCTACCTTCTCCGAGTCCCGAGCTGGCTCCGGTGATGAGGACCACCTTGTCCTGGAGGCAGCCCGTCTTGAGCGAGCCCCACTTGAGTCTGTACAGCTTGTACACCACGTAGGGAAACACCAGGGGCAGGCAGATGCCACCGGCAAAGAGGCGCACCCAGTACAGGACCCCCGACATTGTGTCCAGTTCAGCCGCCTGCAACAAGGACCTGTCAGCTACAACTGGAAGTCCTCTGCAGCAGGTCACCGTGAACAAAGAACTGCCTGCAATGGACCGGATGGATGGATGGATGGATGGATGAATGCATGGCAGCCATTCCCTTTAAATCGGGCGAAGTTTGTGCCCCTTAGCCAAGTAGTGTCTTTAGCTCGAGATTATATTATGTTTAAGTTAATTTAAACAGATTTAATCTCAATCTCTCGCTCAATTTTAATCACTATTCCTGTGATCTTCTACTGACCTCGGCTTTTTAAAACGTTTTGTTTCACCATCCTCATATAGAATCCCAGGGACCTTTAGGGAGTCAGCCTCTTTTCATGATGTCCTCGGGTGAATGAGCCATTTCACAATGTCATGCTCTGCCATTCAAATTGCCCTCTTGCATATATTGCACGTTGTATCCATCTTCGGTATTTGACCCTGCGTGTCCTGGTTATCAAAACCCCTGTGCTAGCCTCGAATATTAGCACACTTCCTCTAGAATTATCTAATATTCGCTCCTTTTTACCCTGTACATTTCCAAAGCTGGTTTCTTCTGCATTCTTTTTCACATAAAGACGACACCAAGTGGCAAAAGCTTGCCACAGGACAACGGAATGCGTTCCGTTGTCCTGTGGCAGGCACTACGTCGGGCAGACGGGGCGCTGTCTAAATGATTGGCTTTGCGAGCACAATAACAACGTGCAAAAAAAGAATGGTGGACTATATATGCCGGACTTGCATTGCAGGACATGCGGTTGTACCCCACTGTTGGATGAATGCGTAAAAATTGGGGAATGCAAGTCAGCGGTAACACGCGAAATCATAGAAGCCGAGCACATTGATTATTTAGGAGACATGTGTGTTGCTGTGCCGTCGGTTGCATTATCGGAGAAGGAATTGTTTTTCCTGAGAATGAGATAGTGTTGTTTCCCAGTTATGCTCTGTGATGGTGTTTGTCGTTTTGTTGTCATTGTGACGATGGTTGAGACTATATCTACCGGAACACGTTTTCAATAAAATTCAGTTGAAAGTTGCGCCTTGTTGTGTCCTCTTCTCTGCTTTTGTCCTCGTCTTTGTTGCGCACAAGATTGTATTAGACCCTAAGGAGCTTCGCCCCTAAAACAGGAAGGCGATTAATGCAAAGGTGCAAGTGAGCTGGACAAGAATAATGATATTAATCCCTGGAGAAGAGGAACAAGGGGGACAAAGGACAAACACCAGTCTCCAAACATAGCTAGGTGACTGGTGCCAACTGAAAAAATCCGCCTGATCCTGGTATCAAACCAAGGACCTCTCCATTTCCAGGGGAGCGCTCTGCCAACTAAGCTAACCAGGAGTTAGACGTCAGTAGAGCAAAAGGGTTTTATCAGCTGCCACCAGTCTGACATCATAACCTTAAAATGCAGGCCGTTTACCATTGTTAGTGTTAGACTGGTGGTAGCTGTTAAAACCAGTTTGCTCTAATGATGTCCCACTCCTGGTTAGCTCAGTTGGTAGAGCGTTCCACTGGAAATTGAGAGGTCCCTGGTTTGATACCAGGATTAGGCGGATTTTTTCGGTTGCACGCCAGTCACCTAGCTGTGTTTGGAGATTTTTGTTTTGGTCTTTTGTCTCCCTTCTCCAGGGATTAATATTGCTATAAAAAAGGCGAGTTAATTAAAAACAGGAAGAAGAGTCAAAATATAGATTCACATCAAATCTTGCATCCTGAGGTATCATTCAGCGAAACAGCAAAGGACCGGAGCAGCGAATAAAAATTACGAATCAACAGAGATGGACGTACCTGTCTCGATTCTGATGATGAGAACAATGAAAATGCAAGCTTCATGCTGCAGACGCACATTGAGCTGATTCTGTTGCTCGTTTGGTTATAAACACCCCATGCAGAGATCTAGAGAACTGGCTCTGCTCGCTGTTTCTGCTGGGCAGCTGAGCATTGGGACAGGCCGGAGCAGTGCACGAAAAATCTCCAAGACCATGGGCGAACAAAAGGGGAGTTGCACTACCTCTCCTGCTTCCTCCGTGACTGAGTCACGGAGGAGACAAGAGAGGCATTGCAGTCCGAGCTTTTGCCACTCCATGAGGAGTCCTCGAAAAAGATCCATTAGCCTTCTGCGACAAGTGCTACAACGAGCATACCTAAAACTGATTCTTCGTAACGAGCCATCGAGTGGCATCAATGAAAGAAAAACAAAAAAAGTTAGCCTGGACATCGCTGTGAGAAGCAACATTAAACAGCGAGTAGCCTGCGACGGGTTGAGGCTCTAGTCTGTAATTGTTTGCCACAGTGGGCTGCACTCAACAAATGATTCAGAGCAAACTGTTGTCTGCAATGATCTGCCTGCAACAATAACCTGTACTCACGGTAATTCATTTGCGTACCGTGAAGGAGTCATTAGCAGTGGAACACTTGAGAGGGTCATGAATAAAATCGAGGGAGCTAGGAAAATAAAAATAAGATAGCTACAGCCATAAAAATTCAAAAAGTTTTCCCACACATTTTCTTTTTTTTTGTACAGTGTTTTAGGATAATTTGCACCACTTCCTGTCTTAAGAGATAAAGAGTGAAGTACAATCATACATCTTTATACAAAGCATTTCGTTATCTGTTTCTTTATTTATTTACATATGCCTACACTTGGCCAAGACCCACACACACGGTTTGGACAACGCCTTCTCAATTAAATAAAAAGTTTGGACCAACAGTGCATGGATCCAAAACCAACTGAAGTTTAAACCAGGCTTGGGTGTAGACTTATCTCAAATACTATTTTAGTACACCAAGTTCACAACAAAAAGAAGCACTTGACGTTCACGCTAACGTTGTAAAAGCCACGACTGCGGCCTCAGACAAGAGGTTTCTGACAACCCCATTCAAGCGCCACAAATTCCCAGACATGGACTTTAAGGCCCTAAAGGCGAGGCAGTTCCAGCAAATAAATATATCGAAATATTAAATATAATTTTTAAAGAAACAAACAATATTCAAATCTGCGTTCTCTTCGTGGTTTGAGGTAACGCAAGGACTAGGGACGTCTAGGAGAAAATAAACAGGCGCTGCACTATAAAAGAGTGATTGCATAACCAGTAATCCACTGCTTTTAACTAAATAAAAACATCCCGCAGAGAAAATTACTTACCCAAACTACAGCTGCCTTCTCCCACCAGTTTGCGCGATAACCGGCGATAACCGATAACTTTCGATATGCCACATACTAAACATCACCACTATCTTCCTCAACATGTATCATAACGGTGACCAAGAAATAGTTCTGATCTATGTAAAGATCTCTATATGTAAGATTATATATACACGAAATACTTACAACTAATAAAATAAGTAAACGTACTAAAACTTGAATCCTGCAGAAGCTTAAGAAATTGAAAACAAGAGGTAGGTTTTAAAAAATTTACTTTTCACGCAATGGATGGATGTATAAAAAATCCGGCTGAGCCCTTTGGATCGGGCGGTAGCTTACGTCACCTAGCCATATTGTTTTACCATTTAATCTTAGAATATTTAAATGTGAAAACTATATTCGCTCCGCACTGCAAAGAAAGTGAGGCTATAAAACCCCCTTACGATCAGTTAAAGGGCAACTCCGCTTCATTTTTGATATTTAGAAAACTTTGTAGCCCTCTTCAGTATCATATAGGAAGACCCCATGTCAAATATTACGATCTAATTCCGTTTATATATTTAATAAACTGGCCAGTAAACCTTCAAGCGAGCCAAGTCGTCGAAATCTGCCAACTCTAGCGTAGACCTGTGCGCCGGTCGGAAATCGCCGGCGGCGGCGCGCCGGTGTTTGTACCTCCGGCGGCGGCGTGTTGACGGCGCGGGGATCAACGGATCGGCGGCGGCGTGGCGCGGAAGAGGGAGGGGAGGGGTGGGGGAATGGGGGAGGGGGTGTAAATTAGAGAGTGAGAGGGAGAGAGAAAGGAGTCGTTTGAATTTGGAAAGCAAGATGCAAATACCATTAAAAGGAACACACTTTTTTATTTTATTTTTTTCTGGAGAGGTATGGACATTGCCTTCGCTGTGAAGAGTGCGTCCGTTAGAAGAATCAGGTACTTCGGCGTCTTGTTTATTCTCGTTTGTAAGAGAATATGTCGCCGGCTGGCAGCCGCGGCGCAAGATCCTCCGCAAGAAGAGGACCGACGGCAACAGGCATTTTATCACCGCGTTCCGCCTCACCACGCGCTTGTCGCACGCCCCTTGCCTAACAAGTCGACCGAGCACGACCTTCGATTTATAGAACTCATACACATTCGGTACGCCGCAAGCCGTCATCACCGACAACGACAGCTAGGGTCCTAACCTCTCGTTCGGCTTTGCGGTACTTCGCCGACAGGCACATTCAGAGCATCCCTAACAGTACCTTAGGCTCCCGAGGCTAACGGCTTTGTCGAACGCGCCAACGGAAAAATCCTTCCATGTCTGCGCGAAAGAAAGTCAACGGCGGCATCGACCATTGGAGCGATTATCTCCAGGCAACCAGCTTTCGAGTAAACCAGCAGCCGTACGCCAGACTCCAGAAATCATCGTTCGAACTCCTGTTCAACTTTGTCCCACGTCGACCAATGGAATTTTCCCCGCTTCCCGACGAGGTCGGTGACGTCCGCGCGAACTGCGACGCTGCTAACGCGAACCACGCTTACCTTGACGGCATGAAGCGTTCCTACGATGCAAAATATCGACCAGCTCCATACAGCGTCAGGGACAGGGTATGGTACACGAACGGCCTTCCTACCTCGAAACTTGACCTGCTTTTCCACAAACACTTAGGTCATCACCAACGTGAACAATCAAACCTACACCATTTCCAGGTTTACCCCGCAAGGCACACCGGATTGCCGCCAAGCTGCCGCACGATAGCTCTTTTTTTTTTTTTTTTTTTTTTTTTCACGAACAACCTGCAGCGATTGACGTCGATTTCAACCAACTCGCCTTGCACCGCAGCAGATCCTCCGATTACAAGCGCATCACGCCGACGCCGCCCTCCACGATGGCTAGACGCATAACAGAGGATCATGACAACATAAACAAAATGTGCGAGGGCGCAAGGATTTTGAGCTCGGGAGTGTAAGCAAACACGCTGGCGGAAAAGACCCGTAAGGAGAGCCTCCCCTACTCGACCGGATGGGAGCTCGACTTCGACCCCCGATGCTGGATCCCGGCGTGGAAACGAGAAAGAAGGACCCCTAGAAACACGACTTGACACGAACAAGCCAGGCGTGTGGATCAAAATAAAATACGTTTGAAAGAAGCCTGAAAACGGACGCGAATATATAGCCCTCTTATCCAATTATTTCACAAAGTTTTCACTAAATCGTTTTACGGTCTACAAAACCGTTCAGTTCGTTATAGCACTTTAAAAACACAGGTGAGCTGGTGAAGAACTTCCATACTAACGGGAGACACGAAACGATAAAAATAACGCACTAGACAACAAGTCTCAAACACAGCTTTTATACCCGTTTTCACGTCAAGAACTCTAGTAAAAAGAGTCCGACTCCTTGCGAACCACTACTAATTTCCACCTTTATGTGGAGAATTAAGATATATGTAGCTGGATTCCACTATATGTGTTATCAAGACGTACACGTTCCAGCGCCAAAATCATTGCTTCTTTCTTCGACAATCAAATCTCGTAAGACTTTGTGTCAAAGTAGCGATGTGGGCGAGTTGGTTCATGCTTAGAAATAATGGAAACAGCGCGCAAACGACAAGGACGGGAGGAAAAGGAGTACACAGGACGAGCGCTGAACTGACAACTGAATATTTATTGAAAAGGACCCAACGAAGAAAACACCCACAAAAAAACACACTCGCATCAACACGTGTCCATGAAAGTAATCTCTTTCTTATGTAAATACACAGAAGTTTGACTCACGCAGTTCTGTTCCCCCTCCTTCTTTATTCCATACGCTTCTAAAATTTCCCTGGCTGTTTTATCTGCTCCCCTCCCCATGATTGTGATTGATTGTGATCTTCTTGAAATCAGGATGACATTTGCATGTTCCGCAGTGCAGGGGCAAATGCCCTCCTGCTGTTGAACTAAGCGACCAGTCATGTTCGCGTGCCCTTTCATTTATGCAACGGCCCGTTTGCCCGATGTAAACTCTTCCACAGCTTAACGGGATCCTGTACACCACTCCGATCGCACAATCCACGTACTTCTTTCTGTGGTTTACAGTGCATTGGTTCCCACCCCCCCTCCTCTCGGCTACTTTAGAACAAAGGTGTGCCAGCTTACGAGGCGCCGAAAACACGACAGGGACATCAAACCTCCCCGCCACCTTTTTCAGGTTGTGGGAAATTCTGTGCTGATACGGGATAACCTGAGGCCTCTTGCTAGGTCTATCCAGCCGCTGATGAGGTCCCCCCTTAATCTTTCTTAACAGCGTTTCCGCTACCGCCAGCAAAACAAAAGAAGGGTATCCCCCTGCTGCAAGCCGCACTGTCTGCTGTTCAAAGCTCTCTGCCATAGAATGGGGACAGAACTTATCAAGGGCAGCCTGCATACACGAAGACGCTATGCTTCGTTTGACGAGCTTTGAGTGGGCGGAGTCGAAGGGCAGAAGTCCCTTTTTCGTACGAGGATGGTAGGCCCAACATACGTGACTTCCTGTGAACTGTAGTTTTAAGGGAGGTTTGATGTCCCTGTCGTGTTTTCGGCGCCTCGTAAGCTGGCACACCTTTGTTCTAAAGTAGCCGAGAGGAGGGGGGGGTGGGAACCAATGCACTGTAAACCACAGAAAGAAGTACGTGGATTGTGCGATCGGAGTGGTGTACAGGATCCCGTTAAGCTGTGGAAGAGTTTACATCGGGCAAACGGGCCGTTGCATAAATGAAAGGGCACGCGAACATGACTGGTCGCTTAGTTCAACGGCAGGAGGGCATTTGCCCCTGCACTGCGGAACATGCAAATGTCATCCTGATTTCAAGAAGATCACAATCATGGGGAGGGGAGCAGATAAAACAGCCAGGGAAATTTTAGAAGCGTATGGAATAAAGAAGGAGGGGGAACAGAACTGCGTGAGTCAAACTTCTGTGTATTTACATAAGAAGGAGATTACTTTCATGGACACGTGTTGATGCGAGTGTGTTTTTTTGTGGGTGTTTTCTTCGTTGGGTCCTTTTCAATAAATATTCAGTTGTCAGTTCAGCGCTCGTCCTGTGTACTCCTTTTCCTCCCGTCCTTGTCGTTTGCGCGCTGTTTCCATTATTTCTAAGACTTTGTGTCGCGTATACGAACATCTTTGTTTCGTGTATGTGCTCTCCCCCTTTGTAATGCCTTCGGGCCCTGAGGGTACTTTAATAAATAAATAAATAAATGCTCGAAACTTCCTTTTTTCTTGAAAAAACGGATGTAGCTTATTTGAACAAGGAACGCTCCTCACCACCAAAAAAGAACTTTTTAAAAAAAGGGTATCACCATACACCCTTTTGTCCCATATAACGCACCCCAAAACTTTAGTTTGACGCACAGCGCACAGACGGCCATACATTTAACAAGGGGCTTGATAACGGAGCGATATAACTTCTGAAATAGCTAAAGCACGTATCAAAGACCACGGAAAGAAAGCACTGAGGTTTTGCAGTAGGGCCAAGAAAACCTCGATTATCTTTTTTGTAGTCAGTAACACGTACATTAGCTATGTTAATAAGTTGTACCACACGGCTATCAAGCCTCTCGTGAAAGTTAGTACCGTCAGATCGACGTCTGAAGTGTTGGGGTGTCTTATAGAAGACAAAAGGTGTAAGAATACACCCTTTTTTTAGAGTGTATACGTCACTGAAAGCCGGACACTCAGACAGATCCAAATGATTCATGGTCACACCAACCTGCCACCCAGACGACCCCGCTTGATGACTGACCAGCCACATGCGATAACAGGCAACTCCATCAGAACCCTTACTAATGATACACGCGTGACGAGATGTCCCTAGACTCCCTACAGCGTTCAATTCGCTTAACGAGTGTCGATGAAACGATCGTGTCGACAAAACGTGTGTCCGTGAAACGTGTGCCCATGAAAAGTTGTCTGCGATACGTAATTCCACGAAACGAGTTTCGACGAAATGAGAGGGTCCCGTACACCACTGTACACCACTCCTGCCTGAAAAGTTACATTTGGTTTCTTATGTTTTTTTCTGGAGCCCCTGAATACCACCAGAAAGGGGGTTGACCTTTCTAATTTGTGCTGAGCTTTGAAAACTAAATTTACACCGAACCTATTT